AATTGAAGAATTAACAATCATATTTTGATAATGGAGAAAGTTATGAAAATTATGTGCATATATATGTAAGAGAAAGGCCATAACTAAACACATCACCCAAGATTTTCTCAGTACAAATAATTACATTTTAATTATTGGGCTGGGACATTTTCCCTTAAGAATTTATAATTCAGTCAGATGATAAAGAGTACAGATTATTTAGAAGTTTCGTTGTGTGCACACTATCTTATTCTTTCATTATATAAAAGGGCTAAGCTGCATGCTAGTAGTAGTATCACTACAACTTCTGTGAAATTGTACATACTTCTACATGAATTTCATCAGCTTTGTTCCTTGACTTTTGTTTGCATTTATAGGTGGAGAGGACAGGTACAACATAGATTATTTCCATGCATTTCTTGTGATTTTGGGTACACATTATCTATAGCTTAAATTGCAGTAAATTTTGAGATATAAGATTAATAAAAATAATAACTAATTAGTATAATTTTAGGAATTAAATATAGATTATTATTTAAGTTTAAATAATTCTCTAAGGAAATTACACAGCCTTTTTGATCCTCAATATTATTGCATTTAAAGTGAGGTATCATGAAGATGAAATTTATGTGTTTACAACTGTAAGAAAGATCATAGTAGGCAGAAATAATGTCAGATTTTTCTCTTTTCAATAAAAAATTGTCATGGGGAAGTTATAAACTTTCTTTTATTCAACCTCAAAAGTTGTTTGAATGTTTATGATATCTCATAGCTATTTCTGTTGACTTAAGCTCTTCCTTTCTTAGAGCTCCTCATGTCTATATTTTACTCCTTCTTTCAACACTTTAATATTCATTCAAGATGATTCATGAAATTATCTTCTGGCAAGTGCTAATCTAACATCTATAGCTAACTTTTAAGCACTACCAATGGTATCCTTATTTGTTCAAATGGTAATTATATAAAATTTTCATGTCACTGATAAATTCATTAGAAAGTTGGCTTTAAAATAGATTGATTAACTTTCCTACATTCATGAGCTAATCTCTATTATTTTTTAGTCCTTAAGCTACTTTATGCCTTGTATTATGTTTCAAACAATAAATTTAGTTTTCTACAAATAACTGTAGAAAAAAGCATAAATTTTGGCTACAAGGCTCATATTAGCCAAAGTAGGCCTTAAATATCTTTACAGTAATATCTTAAACATTAATAATATGATTATATTTAATTCAGATTTTTAGTAATCTTCATGCAGTGCATACCTATAACCACAGTACTAGAGAGACAAAGATTAGGGGCTCAAGGCCAACCTCAGTTACATATTCTGCTTAATGATTTACATGAGATTCTATCTTTAAAAAATAATCATAAAAAGAACAACAATATTTTTAGCAAAATAAGTCAACCTGGAGTCTATAACATACTATTTGCTGTGATTTATAAAGTCACACATTAAATGCTATCCTAAACTTCTTGACATATTCTGCAACAATATCTACATCATCTTATAGATTAATACAAACATAGTTCTCATATATTATATGACAAGAAAACTCAGCCTGCTCAAATGATGTGGTACAAAGTTTTGAGAAAATCTTTCATACTTTTGTCTTCTTTTCCAGAATTTTCTCTTTTAATCCCTACAATATATTATTTGGAAAATTATTCCTGGAAAGAAGTAGTTACAAAAAAAAATTAAAAGTAAACTTGATGGCCACCAAATCTACCAATAAAATGTAAGTGATAAACAACTTCATTATATCAAGAAACTTATTGAGTTCATTTGTATTTGAAGTTCATGGGAAATCTTCATCTGTATTTGAACATTAGATTTCGATATTGAACTTATGATGGAGCACAAGACTTTTTTATTTTATTGTAAAGATATTCAGATTTTTGTTACCTATTCTTATCTTTGTAGTGCACAAATGCTGAATGGCTTTTTGTGTATAATGCCAATGGATCATACTTAGAAAATACGTATAATTTAGCCATTCATTATGACTTCGAAACATGATACAATCTCTACTGTTTTTTAATGGAATTAAAGAGTTATTGAGAATTAAGCAACATTGCACTGGTAAGTAAACTCCTTTTTTCAGTACATATTTTTACTAAATCTTGGCTATCATGAAAATAGGTTTACTCTTCACATATGATCAAGATAAATATAGGAAAAGCAAGGATTTATTGTAGTTTAGCATCATTTAACAACATTTATTTTAAGCCATGGACTGGAGAAAGAAAAGTAAACATGGCTGGGCCCTTAGAAACTCAAAACTAATCACATCAGGGCACACACACACACACACACACACACACACACACACACACACACACACACAATTATCTAAAGAGCAGACACGAAATTGTTTGACAGAAAAGATTTGGTTATTGCAAGAAGAAAGTCATGCCTATTGCATAAACAGTTTTCAATGCAGACATGTTGAAAGAAGACATTTGGCAATGGTGGCCATTGACCTGTGAAATAGATGGAGGCCATTTGGTTAACTATGTATTTATAGTGATGCCTCTATGAAATCCACAAGGAGTTACACAAACTCTACTAAAACTTCATATTTATTTTTATGAATTTACTTCATACTTCAGATTTATGCTTTTTTCTAAAAGTACTTCCTTCTTTTTCTTTGAGAGACACAACTGTGTTCAGATATGAAGAATGTTGCTTTACATCAATAATAGCTCTACAGTTGCATGGTTTATAGATGTTTTTTAGCAGTTGAAGACATTAAGTGACTAAAGATGTTCTTTGGGGCAAGAAGGAATTAAGAGTTTATCCTACTATTTGACATTTTAAAATATAGAATGTTTAAAAGTTTACCCACAATATTGATATCCTTTACATTTACCTAATTTTGTGAACACATATCAACAGATCAGAAAGTATAAATTTGATATGACTTTGTTAATGTACATTGACATTTGTGTGCCTATGCCTATACATGTATATTGTATGGTTTCTGACAAATATTCTATAATTATCCAAAAACCAGAATTTTAATAAATAATAGAATCATAAATACAAATCATATAAAAGTGTTTCATGCATCAAAGAATTAGTCTTACTTTATAATTTTAGGATTGTCAATAATTCTTTTTCTATATGTATAAGAGTTATTTAATTTGGATCATGTGACATATGATTTTATCATGAGTTTTCATGTATTGAACGCTTATGATCAATGCCTACTTTGTTTTATATTTGCATACTTGTCTCATTTATCTTATTTGTCATACATCAAATATTTGAAATTGATTGTATTTTTTTCTTATAATACAGATGAGCTCAATGTGGAACTGACTGATGATACCAACATGCAAGGCTTCTCAGCCAGTGAGTGACTGAGATAGGTATATGGGAAAAGTTCTATAAAGCAAACACTCTAGAGTTCTGTACCCCTAGACATCCACTTTCCTGATTGTGTATCACCATTCTGTTGTGCATAGAGAAATTTGATCTATTGAAGAAATCATGGTTGCCACAGTCACACTAATATTTCTTGTTCATAATATAAGGTCTAAGTGCTTTTTGGAGATTGTGCAAAGAAACTTGGAAGCCACCCCATGCTACCCTTTCATCTATTGCTTAAGAGAAACTTGCAATTTAGCACTTCCAAAGACTATCTTTAATTTAGTTCCTGCACATCACAGTCTAGATATCATAGCATCACTTCAAATCACTATTTTACCTGAAAACCTTTACTTAAATATAAGTGTTTGAAATATCTCTAAAGAATACTGCATGCAAAAAGGTATTTTGCAAGCTGTTGTCATTTCAAACCTGTAAATATATTTTTGTGAGGAAGCTTTTTGAGCATATGTTCCCCTTCCTCAGGCAGAATAAAACTACATTCTTTTCCAACTTTCCATGAACAACACACTGATTTTGAGAATCAAGAATATTTATTATACCTATCAGTGTAGAGACATCTTCTGATTCAATGTATCAAAATAATCCAGAAATAAAGAAATGAAAATGATGAGAAAATGAAAACAGAATGGAAAAATGGATGAATGAATTATTGGCAGATACTTCTCAGCAATGTGTTTCTTTGCTATTTCGTGCATTTCTGGGTTGTTCCTTTTAAATGAGCTGGAATGAGGTGATCCAAATATAACACTGTGTGTATCCTCAAGGCAAATAGGAAGAACATAAGGATCTCTCAATAAAACATCCTACTAACTTCAATATATTTGATCCTTTTCAATAAAGTTATTTATTTCCAACCATAGATGTGACTTCTGGTAAAGGTAGTATCATTGTATTTTGTTAGCACTACTAGAATTAGACATTTTTGTATTATTTCTTATTGCTACACAAAATTATTCAGACATTTTTTTCGTTAATACTTAAATTTGTCATAAATTTATTATTATTATTAATTAAACATAATAATAACATTTCTATCATATAGCATGAAGGGGGAAAATGAGGACAACCAGTTATGAGTTGCCTTGTGACTATTTTATCTGGTTTACATTCTTTGTTCTTCTCTGTGGTTGGGCTGCTATGCAGTATAGGAGATAGCAGCAAAATTCTGAGGTGGTGTATGCTGCCACCTTGGTTTTTCTTACTTATTGTGTCATGCATAGAGAAATGGCATTTATTAATTACTGTCTCTTTGAATGTTATTTACTCCTGCCCATCTAGTAGCTGTGTAACAAAACCAGAATTGGATCTCTTTGAAGTAGGTGATTTATGACAAAGGATTTGGAGAATGAATAGAACATTGGATGATTATTGGCTGGCAGAGTAAAATTCTCTTTTAGAATTTGCAACAACTCTTATTAACTACATTGAGACATGAAGTTAGCATTGTGATCTCATCTGAAAGCCCTCTCCAGAAGCTGAGGCACTAAAGTTCAGACACCTAAGGTCCCATCCAATACTAAGATCTTTAACTATTTCCATAAATCTGTGATCTACACTACTGCCCAATTGGGAACTTGGTGTTGAGAGGAGTGCCTGATTCTATAAAGGAATGTAGCCTGAAAAGATGGATCATATGAAAATAAACTTCACAGTGACTGAGTTTGTGTTCCTGGGGCTTTCATCTGATCCCAAGATACAGTTGGTTCTCTTTTTTGTATTCTTGTTTTTCTACATATTTTCAGTCGTGGGAAATATCATCATCATCACTATTATCCAGATAGAGCCTCGCCTACAAACCCCCATGTACTTCTTCCTCACTAACTTGTCCTTTCTGGACATATGTTACACATCCACCAATGTCCCACAGATGCTTTCCAACATGATGGGGAGTAAGAAGACCATCCCATTTGCCAGCTGTGCTACCCAGATGTACTTCTCCCTGTCTTTTGGGATGATTGAATGTGTTCTTCTTGGTGTCATGGCTTATGACAGATATGTAGCCATTTGTCACCCTCTTCATTATACTATTATTATGGATCAAAACACTTGTGTTCAATTGGCAGCCATTTCTTGGTCCAGTAGCTTCCTGAGTTCCATGGTTATCAATGTTCTCACTTTGAGTTTGCCCTACTGTGGACCAAATGTCCTGAATCACTTTTTCTGTGAGGTTCCTTCAGTTCTGAGACTGGCTTGTACTGACACTTCACTCACTGAGCTGGTGGTTTTTGTATTCAGTATTATCATCGTGTTCATTCCTTTCCTTCTCATTATTGTTTCCTATGCCCGTATCCTTCTTTCTGTTCTCAGGATGCGGTCAGCCTCTGGGAGGCACAAGGCTCTGTCTACCTGTGCCTCCCATCTCACAGTTGTAACCTTATTCTATGGAACTGCCATCTTCATGTACATGAGACCACAGTCGAAATCTTCCAGGGCTGGTGGCAAAGTCATTGCTGTGTTCTATACTGTAGTGACACCTATGCTTAACCCATTAATATACAGCCTAAGGAATCAGGATGTAAAAGGGTCTCTGAGGAGAGCTATCACAAAACAAAACATGTAAAAATCTATGAAGGGACCATAAGCTCAGCTGTTATTCTAAGATAATTACCAGCTAAGTCTAGAGATGAGAGAATGAAAAATACTTGTATCTCGAGTTGTTTTGTGGGCCTTCAAAGAAACTCATAAATCCATTTTCAGCACTAGAAAAATATCTTTCTTCTAAGTAAAAAATTTGGGCTTTAATATGTTGAAATGATTGCCTTTATTGGATGAATGCATTTTGTTATTTTGTTACTCATTGGTAAAGTGTGTATCTCCTGGACCAGGTTATAAAATGAATTAACTAAAATTACCAGCAGGATGAAACTTCTTACCTGTGCCTAGAAAATGTTAAAAATTTTGATAAGAGAAATACAATTTCTCAACACATGTAGAATTGCAAGTTAAGTCTTTTCGATTTTAGTTTACATGTCCTTTGAATATATACTATGGCTCCTAGTTTTGTGTTTTTATGGAATTACTCTGTGTGGAAATATATGTCTCTGTCTATATGTGTTTCTTCTGCTTTTTTTGGTGTTTATTTCTGTGTGTTTTGTCCTATTCTTCCTTGGTTTTGTTGTATTTTTATTTCACTATTATTCCTTAGATGTATGTTTGTTTTCTAATGAGAGACAGATAATTTGGATCTGGGTGGGAAGGAAGAAAGAAAGAACTAGGAAGAGTTGGGGGAGGTTAACTTTAAACGGGCTATATTGTATGAAAAATTCATTGTGAATAAATGAATATATATATATATATATGTATGTATATACACACACACATATATATGTATATATATATATATATAAAATTAGGATAATAATTTCATTCCTGTGTAACCTAATGTTGTAATACAACATTAGTTAAAATAATTTTTATAATTACTCATAATACTTAAATATATATGAAATGACAACTATCTGTGGTGATATATTATTTATGATTTATTAAAGCTTGACTAAGAGTAAAGAAAGCAAAGCCAGCCACATTAGTTAGCTATAGAAATCAGGCAGTACTTTTATATATCTTTAATCCCAACACTTTTGAAGTAGAGGTAGACTGATATCTGTTAGTTCAAGCCAAACTGAGCTACACAAAATTGATTCAGTCTTAAAGAGAACTAGCTCACAAAAGATGGTCTCAGAACTAGAGATCACATGACTTTAATCCCAGAACTAGTGGGGTATAAAAAGCAAAGGGTCTCATGTGGAGTCTGAATCTCTAACCATACTGAGGAGAAGCATCAATCTGAGGCTTGGTGAGAGCTCGTGGAGACAGGATTAGCCATTTCTGCCTGAGGCATTGGTAAGAGCTAATGGCTTCACTGCTTTGCTTTTCTGATCTTCAGCTTGAAGCTTGAACTCCAATATCAGTCTACAGGTTCTTTAGAATAACTTGTTGAATGGAAAAGATGACATTTTAAATTCTTCCAAATATCACAAAATGAGGCACATATGCTTATTTGTTAGTTGATAATTTAGAAACAACTTTACTAATTTACTAATTGTACACTTCCAAAATTTACTTTTGTAATTACCAAAAATTGGCTGAGTCCTAACCTAAAAGATTCTGAATTAAACATTCACACATATTGCAAAGACATTTTCTTGGTCCAAAGCTAGTGGATAAAAAACTGAAGGCAATGAATTCCAACCTCTCTGAATCTTTTAGTATCCTGGTCATCTGTATTAGGTTTTTTTGGGGGGAGGTGTTCAAGACAGGATTTCCCTGTCTAACTTTAGAACCTATCCTGGAACTAGCTCTTGTAGACGAGGCTTGTCAAGAAATCACAGAGATCCACTTGCTTCGGCCTTCTAAGAGCTGGGATTAGAGGCATGTGCCACTCCTCCCTTGTATTAAGATTTTACATGTACTAGAGTTTATGATGAAGTACAATAAAGAAAACAAAATAATTCAGATACCTACACAATCTACACTTGGTTTCATATAGATCTTATCAAGCAAATGTTTTGTTCCTCATATGTTTGATTCTTCTGACATGAAAGAGGAATACAATATTTTAGAAATGCTACATGAATAAATCTACTCACAATATCTTGGGCACTAACAAAGAGGAAGTCATTTTAAAGTAAAAAAAAATGGATGTTTGATTATTCACTATACCGAGTTTCTGTTTTTCCTCCCTAATAAATTTTATTTTTATTTTTTTTAATTTTGTGAATTCCATTCATCATTGAATGGTGTATTCTTTTTTGTTACTATTCCTTTTTTAAAATTTATTTATTTAATTAAGAAACAGTTTTATTTTACATATCAATACAACTTCTCTCTCCCTCCCATCCTCCCATGTCTTCCCCCCAACCCTCCATCCCACCCCCATCTACTCGCCAGAGATGTGAAGGCTTTCATGGGGAATAATCAAAGTCTGTCAAATCATTTGGAGCAGGGCCTAGGCACTTCCCCATGTATCTAGGCCGACAGAGTTTCCCTTCATAGAGAATGGACTCCCAAAATTCCATTGGTGCACTTGGGATAAATACTGGTTCCAATGTCAGAGGTCCTATTGATTGTCCAGGCCTCTTAACTGGCACACAAAATGCCATCCTAGAGCCTACATCCAGTAGCTGATGGAAAAAGAAGCAGGCACCCACAGCTAAATACTGAACCAGACTCCTGGGATGCTATTGTAGAGAGGGAGGAGTGATGAGCAAAGGGGTCAAGACCATGCTGGAGAAACACACAGAAACAGCTGACCTGCACAAATGAGAGCACATGGACCCCAGTCGTAAAGCTGGGAAACCACCATTGGATCTAACTACATTGAGTTTCTAAATGTGTGATTTTCCCATATTTGGCTGTGACTGTTACAACACATAGAATGCATATATAAAAAATAGACAGTATTCAAAGTTGTCAAGTATTTATAATATTTACATTTTATTTATTCATTTATTTTATATTTTGGTATCTATTTTTTTATTTTCTAGTGCTGATTGTACAAAGGAGTGGATTTCATTATGGCATTTTCATATTCACCCCCTATTACCCATTCTTATCTTCCTCTTCCCTAGTCTTCTCTCCTTCATTTATAACAAACATTTAATTTTAAATTATTCCACAACCCATAATTTCATATAATAGACTGAGAAAATGTTATACTGTGTTTGTGAGAATGGTTATTTTAACAAAGTCTACCATTAACAAAATATAGTCTGTTTTCATAAACTATATTTCTTCCAAGCTTAGCTCTATTATTAGTACAGTGCATTTTAGGAAGCTACTTTTCTTTTTTATGAACTTTTTTGGGAATTCCATGCACACAATGCCACCACCATAACCAAATCCAAAAATGACAGGAATCAACAATCAATGATCATTAATATCTCTTAATAATAATGGTCTCAACTCACCTACAAAATGACACAGGCTAACATAATGGATATGAAGACAGAATCTATCCTTTTGCTGCATATAGGAAACAAACCTCAAATTCAAATGCAGACATTACTTCAGAGTAAAGGGTTGAGAAAGGTTTTTTCAATCAAATAAACCTAAAAACAAAGCTGGCATAGCTATACTAATACCTAACAAATTAAACTTCAAACTAAAATTAATCAAAATCGAGATGAATGTTATTTCATATTCATCACAGAAAAAAATCCAACAAGATGACGTCTCTATTCTGAACATCTATGCCTCAAATACAAAGGCACCCAACCACATTTTTAAAAGAAACATTATTAAACTTAAATCACACATAAAACCCCACACACTTCAACATGACACTCTCACCAATAGACAGGCTACCAGACAGAAACTTGGCAGAGAAATGTAAGAACTAACAGAAGTTATTACTCAGTTGGGTTTAACAGACACCTATAAAACATTCCATCCAAACACAAAAGAATATACCTTCCCAACGCCACATAGAGCCTTATCTAACATCAACCACATACTCAGCAACAAAGCAAACCTCAACAGAAACTAAAAAACAAAAACAAAAACAAACAAAAAATAAAACGGAATAACACCTGTATCTTATCAGATCACCATGGTTTAATGTTAGAATTCAGCAACAACACCAACTGCAGAAATCCTACAAACTCATGGAAATTGAAATATGCTCAATTGCATCAACCCTGGGTCAAGGAAGAAACAAATAAAGAAATTAAACACTTCTTAGAATTCAATAAAAATGAATGCACAGCATACCCAAACTTTGAAATCAGTGCCAAGAGTAAATTTCATAGCACTCATTGCCTACATATAGAAACTGGAGAATAGTCACACTAGCTCACCTGAAAGCTCTAGAACAAAATGAAGCATAGTCATCCAGGAGGAGTAGATACCAGGAAATAATAAAATTGAGGGCTGAAATCAATTAAGTAGAAACAAAAAAAAAAAAAAAAACAAACAAACAAACAAAACAGTACAAAGAATCAGTGAAATAAAGAGTTGGTTCTTTGAGAAAATAAAAAAGTTAGATAACCTTTATCCAAACTAACCAAAAGTCAGAGAGAAAAATATCCAAATTAACAACATCAGAAATGAAGATGTGGACATCAGGTCATACTTTGAAAACCTATACTCCACAAAATTGAAATATTTAAAGGAAATGGGCAATTTTATGAATAGGTATCACATACCAAAATTAAACCAAGGACAGATAAGCAACTTAAGTACACCTATGACCCCTAATGAAATAAAAGCAGCCATTAAAAGTTTCCCCATAAAATAAACCCCAGGGCCACATGGTTTCAGTGCAGAATTCTACTAGCAATTCAAAGAAGAACTAATAGCAATACTACTCAAATTGTTCCACAGAATAGAAACAGAAGGTTCATTGCCAAATTGTTTTTTAAAATTAATTTTTACTTAAATTAAAAGCAATTTTATTTTGCATACCAATCCCAGTTCCATGTCCCTCCCATCACCCCATCTCTCCATCCCAATCCCATCCCAATTCCCAGGGAGGTTAAGGCCTCCCATGGGGGATCATCAAAGTCTGTCCCATCATTTGGGGCAAGACCTAGGCCCTCTCCTGTTTATCTAGGTTGAGAGAATATCCCTCCATATGGATTGGGCTCCCAAAATCCATTTGTGCACTAGGGTTAAATACTGGTTCCATTGGCAGAGGCCCCATAGACTGCCCAGACTTCCCAACCCATGTTCAGGGGTG